TTACACAACATCATGTATGTGTTGCTTCTTTGGGGCTTGTCTTCATAGACCTGGTTGCTTATTTCTCTCAAATCTGGCAACAGAGTAGGCAGGGCGCAGTGTCTAATTGTAGCAGTAAGCTAACGAGTACTGATAAGCTTTATTTTTGTTTTGATCCAATGCTGCACAACTGAACTGATCCAATGCTGCTGTGAAAGAAAGAAGCTATATCCATGTTGGATAGAATATCCAATTTAAATAAAAAAATAACCTTAAGGGACAACTTGAATGCTTTTTTCCTTTTTTTTCTCTTAATGCATTGCATAAAGATCGGATCGGGAAAAATCGGTATCGGCAAATTGTCAAAATCAAATGATCAGAATCGGATCGGGAGCAAAAAAAGGTGATCGGGACATCGCTAATTTTCGGTCAATAAACACTATTAACACGACTAAAAAGCATGCTCAGCAAAGTTGTAATTATTCAAATACAATTGAATCTTCAAGTCTACCATTCGATTTGATCACTTTGCGTAATCCCTGCTAATAATTTGATCTGGTTGAGCAAGCACTTCATACATAATGCCAATATCTAAAGTTAAGCCCCACTTCACTGGATGGAAGAACACACTTAAAATGTTTGCAAAATCACTTCTTTATATAAAGGAGAAACCTTTCTCATTATTCATTTATATTACTTGAATAATATTATTGATTAATGATTGTTTTGTTTTTTGTTATTGCAATTTCTATATGTTTTGACTTTAAAAAGCCTACGCCAAGTAAATACCAAATATCATGAAACACCTGACATCGTCTTTGTGTCCTCCAAGCTCCAAATAATATTGCCTGTCGTTTTACCGTATCTGCTTTAACGTGACAAACACGCAGAAGCTGCCTTTAGTTTCTATGCACCCCAACAGTGGAACAAACTTCCAGAAACCCTGAAGTCTTCACCAAAGCTGAGTTATTTTAAGTCGAGTCTAAAAACATAACTTTTTTCAGCTGCTTACCCAGAAGTCTTGTTTTAGCATCTACCATATTTACAATGTTGTTTTGAAACTATTCTGTATCTCTTGTATGCATGGTTTTTATGAACCTGTTATCCCATTATGTTTATTTACTGTGTTCCTTTCTGTTGTCTTCTTATTAAGTGTTAATGTTGAAAATGTGCTATATAAATAAACTAATCTTACCTTACCTCAATGATGGACCATTAAAATTCAGTTTTAATTAGATTAAATACAAACCTTTTTATTCCAATATATAACTCATTTTCCGTCGATGCACAAATTGATGAATGTACTCCCAAAATGAGACTGCATTGAAAAACTGTAATTGTTCGAATACAAGTAAAGTCTGCTATTAAACTTCATCACTTTGTTTAATCCCTGCTCATCATTTCTGTGTTTTATTCAGACTTCACGGCAGCTACGAGTCCCTGAAGGGCGGCAGCACCATGGAGGCCATGGAGGATTTCACCGGAGGCGTCGGGGAAGCCTACGAAACCAAGAAAGCTCCCGACAACCTGTTCCACATCATGAAGAAGGCGATGGACCGGGGATCCATGATGGGATGCTCCATCGATGTAAGGACTCTCAATTATAAATTATTGTTATTTACACCTCTCAAAGTCTCCACTAAGACACAGAATAACAAAAAAATTTGTAGCCTGATGCTAAATTGCATTTCCTTGTAGAAGTTCTTCGACTACTTGTAGATGTCTTCTGACTTCTTTGTAGTAGCTTCATGTGTTACCTTAGTCATTTGGGTCTCTTTAGGTTCTTCTAGTCTCTTTGATTCGCATTTTTATAGTAGATTTTCATAATCTTAGTTTGAATATTTTGTATTATGTGTCTCTGTCGTCATTTAGCATGTTGTTGGACACGTTTTCTTTCTGTTTTCAGTTGTTCTACAGGTTTTTCTAGTTGTTTTAGATCCTTATTAGGGATGTCCCGATCACCTTTTTTTGCTCCCGATCCGATTCCGATCATTTGATTTTGACAATTTGCCGATACCGATTTTTCCCGATCCGATCTTTATGAAATGCATTAAGAGAAAAAAAAGAAAAAAAGCATTCAAGTTGTCCCTTAAGCTTATTTTTTTAATTTAAATTGGATATTCTATCCAACATGGATATAGCTTCTTTCTTTCACAGCAGCATTGGATCAGTTCAGTTGTGCAGCATTGGATCAAAACAAAATAAAGCTTATCAGTACTCGTTAGCTTACTGCTACAATTAGACACTGCGCCCTGCCCACTCTGTTGCCAGATTTGAGAGAAATAAGCAACCAGGTCTATGAAAACAAGCCCCAAAGAAGCAACACATACATGATGTTGTGTAATTTGAAACCAAAACTAAGGCCTCAGGATGACTTTAAGACTTGAAAATGGTCATTTTTGTTTTGTAACATTGAATAGAAAAAAAAAAAAAAAATCCTGATCCCCGATTTTTTTCTCCCGATTCCGATCTTTTGAAAATCATGTGATCGTCTCCGATCCCCGATCACGTGATCGGATCGGGACATCTCTAAATCAAACTTTATTGTATGCAGCCCAATTTAAAATATGAAACATTTGTCTCAGCGGGCTTTACAATCTGTACCGTATATGACTCCCACTGTCCTTGCAGACCCTGCCAGCGGACAGGGGAACAACTCCCTACAAAATGTTGTACACAAATGTATCAGTTTGTCAAAAATATGCCTGCCGCATTCTGACTGTCTGCACGAGAACTGAAAAGCTATTTCACATCTCTGGAATGTGGTTAGACAACTCTTCTGCAGCAGCACGTCTTCTTTTAAACAGCTCTGTCACCTAATTACACTATTCAAGCTGTTTATTCTGCTGAGTGAGACGGGATCAGGAGTATCACGACCATCAGTGTGTAAAGCCTCCACCAGTTGACTGTAATGTTAGTTTCCTTTCATTATTGTGTGGTGTTGGCGTGTTTCCTTATCTAATCTTCTACAAACACACTTCCTCTCATTCTGTATACGCTCAGGCAGGACTCTGTGCATGGGCGTGATTTAAGCTTGCTTTGTTGCTAATATTGATACGTTGTGCTATCCGGTGTTTATTCTATTAACTTTTTTTAGTGTTTACTGTGAAACTGTGCTTCACTGAGGCATCAGGTTGTTCAGCTTTCCACTAACAGTGTCTGTCTGCGTCCCTTTGCCCTCAATGCTGCCCATCAACTCAATTGAAAGACTAACAGACACAAAATGAGCTCAACCAGTTTTAAATAACCTTTCCTTTATTACCATTATATGAAAGCAGTTTGATCTGGAAGTGTTTCCTTCTCTGTTGTTTTGACAGTTGGCTCAGTTTTGCCCCGCCTTCACAGTAAGCAGAATGAGCCAGCAGAAAATGGTTATCTTTTGTAGATATTGAAAGAGGAAATTCAATGTTTTGTAAAATCTGCTAGTATAGCATGTGCAACACAGAAATGGTATTGTTATCATGCCTCACATAATGCAGTAGTTCCCTGATACCTTGCTAACCCATATTATTGATTTACTTCCTTAAAAGGACAATGTCACCCTCATTTAGTCTTCTTTTAGTTTTGAGGGTGACTTGGCTGCGTTAGCTGGGGGAGGAGGCACTGCTGTTGTTAAAATATAATATGATGTGAGGAAGTTTCTCCACATCTTAGAAGACTTACGTTAACGTTATTATCTCATCCAACACGCAGGCTTAGATTATGTCTATTTTTCTTACTTCTGGAGAGATGGACCTGTTTTAATGTAAAGATCATTTTGTGTCCTTTTACTTCCTGTTCCTGAGAAAGTGTCTGTATTTAAAACAGCTTTGAGGACAGCAGAATCATACACTTGCATATGGTTAATAGTGTTATTTTGTCATTGGTACAAGAGGAGAACAACTTAAAGGTCACCTATCATGCTATTTTTAGGCAATAGCATAGGTCTCAGATATATAAACATATATAAAAACATGTCTATGAAGTGTTTCGCTCAAAATACCAAACAGATCACCCATTCTAGCCATGCCTCATATCCCTCGATTTCACTTCCTGTTTCAAAAGTGCTGATTTTGGGTATAAAGCTTCAAAACAAATAAAAATTGATAAAAAAAGAAAAAAAGGAGGGGGCTGAGCTCATGCGGACCCGGCAGCTACTGTCTAAACTAAATACTGCGGTGATGAAACGCCATATCATGGATTATCAAGGATTATTTCTGAAACAGTATGGAGCTCAAAGGCTTTCTCTCTTGCCGGTTATACCACAAGGTGAGTTCCTTTTTATTTCCTGCTTCTTCACACACATGCTCTCCAGTACAGGTTAGCTCTGAGTGTTAGCGATGCTAATGTAAACACCGACCATATTACGTCCAAAACAGTCGGGCATTGTTTCTGATAGCAACGTTTCTGATAGTGCCGTGGGTCCACATTTCAGATATTACGTCATATCGGACGCAAACTGGATCAGCTCCATTGTACCCCCGTTTTTAGAGATTTGGGTACGGAGGAAAATAGAGGGTTTTATTTTCTGACGCTGCGTGAGTTCCCTGACACACCGGGGACACATATTTATGTATAAAAGACATCAGAAAGTGCATTTTTGATGATAGGTCTCCTTTAATGTTTGAATACATTTCACTTGTGTTGTGCCAAATCTCCTTTATGGTGACGTTTTAACAGTTTTCCATTCTGTCGACCTAATGCTGTGTGGGTCATGATAAATATTCTGCACTACAAAATCATATTTCTCATGTTTTCTTGAACTGTCCTCTGAAATTGTAACATTTGTTTGTTCTTCCCATGGAAATGTGCTGTAGCAGACTCCTGAAAAATGATCTCACTTTTTTCATCCTTTTTAATATATGGGAGAGACAAATGTTACTTCTATGATTTTGCCTGGTGTTTCAACAAAAAACATTTATTATCCTGGAATATATTAAATGTGTAAGATTTTTAAAATCCGACTCAACAACCTTCAGGTCCGATGAGGAGTGTGTGTTGAAGCTGTAACTCTATATAACTGACCCTTGAACTACTGTACTGTACTGTGAGTGTGTGTCTCCCCCTGTGTCATGATCCTGCCGTTGTGTCTTCAGATATCTGTCTGCCTCAGCCACTTTGGATGACATTTCCCGCTCTGAAGCGTGAGTTGACCTCTTTCTTTTTTGTGTTCTTGTAGATGATCTAAGGTTTCTTTAAGTTTGGTTTCCCTTTTGGGAAATTATTCTCTTTTTCATGTTTGCCTATCCATCATTTTCTTTTTGTTTTCCTTTTACTGTTGTGATGGTGAGGGTGTTTGTGGCGGTTGAATTCGGGAACGTCTTTTTCTGTTCTATGGTGGAAGACTCACAAAAAAGCCTCTGAAGACAAGTTATTCATGTTGTACTTAGATTAGCACTGCATCCAACACATTTTGAATTTACACTGCTAAAACTTCAGTAAGTATCCTTTAGTTTCGTTTTAGTGTGTGTAGGTACTGATATTTGCACCATCTGTTGCTGAGACTTGTGTGTTTGGGTGGATCAGCTGATGTTGGCTTCTACCCATAATGTGTGTGTATGTTTATTGTGTGTGTGCATTCAGCCAGGCAGGTGGGGTTATTTCATCCTTTTGGTAGCTTTTGCCAGTTTAGATGTATTGGATTGGGTGATTGCTTATGTGCGTATTTCTGATAAATGTTCTGAAATGGGTGTATTAGTGTGTGTTTAACCACACCTGGCCACTGTGTTGAACCCAGTAACACTTGTGGATTCCCAGTTGGTGCTACTCCCCCCATAGTATCTACTAACCTTAAGGAGTAGTGCAATGTTTTAGGGAACGGATAACTAATATCGGCTTTGTGGTGAAAGTGAGATGAGAAGGCTCACACCACTCTAATGCATTGAGCTATAAAGGAGGTGTTGGCTGTTAGCTTAGCTTATTTTAGCATGAGAACTGGACAGCCTTGCTAGCTTCATCCCCTGCTTCTGTCTGCTTATTTTTTTTTACTTTGAGTCACATTGTGGATAAGCAAAGAATGTCCAAAGTGTCAAACTATTTATTTAAAAAAAAAAGCAAAGAGCTTTATTTCTGCAAACTCAGATTTTAAAATCTTGTTATCACTTTTAGATTTAAGGTTACTCAAGGTCGGTTTTAATTAAAAGAGCAACCTAACACCAAGCTGAAAAACATATTTGGAGATCTGACCACAGCCGTGCCACTCACCTTTCACTTAAGGTTAGGAGATATGGCTAGCTTTCATCTATAAAATGTTTTTAGGACTTTGTTTGCAAGACAGTTAAGCATTAATAACTAAACACCTGCTTTATATGACCGCTTTATTTGGAGGAGTTTATTATCTGCAGCTTGTCTCTCTCTCCGATGGCAGACTTTCCCATCATTTTTAAACAGCTTTAAACACTTTTGTCTTAAATCATGTTTAACAACACTTAGTACATCCTACTTTGTTGGAAGCTTTACCCATAATAACAATGGTTTCATCCTGCCTACATTGTTCCTGCTCTGCTGTTGTTGTTGTTGTTGTTGTTGTTGTTGTTGTTATCTTCTGTAAGAATTGAGAAAAGGGGGAGTGCCATAGACTAATGGAGGTTTTTACTAATAGGACAAGGGCCAGACTGAAATAGAAAAATATGAGTCTGAACTTTTATTTATTCTAATTTAGTACTAGTCTAAATGAAGTCTAAATTCTAGGACTACCACCAGGATTTGTAAAAAAAATATTTTCTTTTTGCATTTTGAGAATAGTCTACATTTGAGTTTCAAGGGATAATTCTACTTAATTGACAGAATTGTACAAACCACTATGACAGTTGGATTGTCTTTAGAAGTACTGCTTGTATAGTGATACTTGGTGTATTACCACACCCTCAGAGATGTGTCTGAATGTTTGATTTCTTCATCATGCACTCTCTTCCATTGGGCTGAAATGTACACCATCCGGTTCTTGGCTGCATTGGACCATGCTGAATCATATCTGCCATTAATGCTGATGCTCTCTGCACTTGGGGGGTATCTCTGGAGGAATTGACTAACACTCGTACACACAGTAGATGATGAAAAAAGGAATCTTCAGTTTTATTGGCAAAGATGACTTTTTTCCTTCCCCTCACATTGTTGGCCCTTAGTTGCTGTGGCCTAAATTCCTGTGACTGTATTTCTCTGTGAATACTAACCATTGGCACGTTGAATACTACGCTGTGTGTGTTTAAGCTGTAACCTAAATCACTGTTAGCTTTTGTTTTTGTGTTTTCTGGGTCAAATGGTTTGCTCTAATTCACCTCTGTCTTCTCACCCTCCTGTCCCTCTCCTCTCCCTGCTTTGTTTTCCTACACTTGATTTATTTCTGCTCGATATCTGTCTCTTTTTTTCTCTGTCCATCCTTCCTCCTTATTACTTCCTGTGCCTCCTGTCCTTGTTCTTTCTTCCCCCATCGTTTTCACCATCCAAATCTTCTTTTTCATTTCATTCCAACCATCTGTCCTCCTCGCTACATTCCTCGTTTCTTGTAACCATTGTTCTCCTTCCCTCCTCCTCCTCCTCCTCCTCCTCCTCTGTGCAGATACAAGAAGACTCAGGAGACTCTCTCCCAGGCGGGACAGAAGACCAGTGCAGCTCTCTCCACAGTGGGCACGGTCCTCAGCAGGCGACTGGGCGACATGAGGTACGGTGCAGCAGAGCCAAAATGGCCGAATCACTGGGAAGGAAAAAATGAGCAAAGTGGACGGTGTTAAAGCAGAGAGGTAAAAAAACAGATCTATATTTGATTAACCCTTGGGCAACAGGGTGAAACAGAAGTTTAGAACTGTTGGAAACACGGCAAGATAAAATATTGTATTTTAGAAACATGGAAAAAAAATGGTTTTGAGAAACTAAAATATGCCCGCTGGAATACTCCAATAAAAAACAAAAGATCAGTGAAACAAAGACAGATACCTGGATAATGCCCAAGTATTGTGTAAATGTTGCTAAACAGATCATTCTGTCTTACGTTCCACTTTATTTCCCAAAAAGTGTCAAAACAACTGATAGTAATCGGTGTATCATTTGCTGACTGTGTCCACTGCTCTTTTTTTCTTGAAGCATTGAATTTCTCTCACGCTGACCAGTGATCAGCTCTCCTCTAACCTAGGGCTGCTCAATTAATCGTATTTTAATCGCAATTACGATTTTGGCTTGCAACGATTATGAAAACATCGAAATAAAACGATTCTTATTTTAATTTTTAATTATTTATTTTAATGGTTTTTCAGTTGAATTATACTTAAAGTTCAGGGTAATCAACTGTTAAAAACATACTGTTCAGCATTTTTTTTTTTAAATAAATGGATGTTTTCAAAGTAAATTGATAATTATTTTTTAATAATCGTGATTAAATCGTTATTGACCCATATAATCGAGATTATGATTTTTGCCATAATCGAGCAGCCCTACTCTAACCTCGACTAGTAGTGCTGTAGATATTGAGCAGAACCGGCTCTAATAACACTAGTCTCTGTTAAAGCTACATTTGTTTATTTGAACAGGTGTATGTCATGAAATGTAATTGTACTAACTCAAAGGGGTTGTTCAAGGAGATTAAGAGTTGGACGTCTTTTAACATCAAATACATCGTTTAAGGGAAGGTTTACCGCTACGTCTCGGGAGTCAAACCCCAGATGCTAAATTTGAATTTCAGCCACTTGAAACGCTATCTGTGTCTGCCTACTCATACTTGGACCACCCCTTTAATGTAGAATACTTTTTCACCCTGGAATCACGCTTTGTAGGGTTTTTATTTGACTTCAAACTGTGCAGATTTCTATAGACATTTTGATGTCCATCAAACGTGAGAAAACATTTGTTACAAACACTGTTAAGTTCAGCGTCAAAGCAACAACTTCTTAAAGTGTGATTAAGGGGTGAGATAGAACGTTAGCTCTGGAAAAACAAACGGACGAGTGGAAATGCACTAACCCTTAACTCATTAACATCTCACATCTCCGATGGCTCTTTGTTGACTTGCACAACCGTCTATGACTTTTTTAATGTTTCTATTTCACCTCCCATATTAGCTCTTCATGCAAGTGTGTGTGAGGAAAGGGATTAATGGCTGCCTGAGTGTGTGTGTGTGTGTGTGTGTGTGTGAACCAATGTGTTGTGCCTTTATGTTCATTGGGTCCTCATAGAGTATTCCCAACTAACATATTTCAGCAGGTTTGATCCGGTTTAATGTCCCTGCATGTTACATTCATTCATTTAGTATTATATAGCAAAAGTGATAGCATGATATTGTTTGTGTTCTGTTCTGGGTGTGTTGTGTAATTTGGCAGAAGGAAATTAACTACAGAGTTGAACTCTGCATATATTCATTTCAAAGGATGCCAGCATATTGGGTAAAATATGTTTATGTTTGGACTTAAAGTAAATTCAAGTGGCCCTTAATACCTCAGAGGCAGATAGCATGACTACTTGATACTAAAACTGGCCTCTGATCTCCAGTTAATGCAAACTCAAACGTTTTCTTGATAAATGCAGTAAAATGTCCATTTCCAATCAATAACGCAACAACGTTAATCAGCTATGAATCAAACTCAACCCTTGCTCCAGAGTTTTCACCTTAAAAGCTCTCTTAATGGGTTTGCTTCGATGGTGAACAACCATCAGAAGGTGGTCAGTGTTATTGTCGATTAGGAGAAAGAACCTGAATTATTTATAGTAATAACAAATCACATCTGTACAAAATGAATACAGCAGCATAGTGATGACCCTTTATCAGGAATACATTTACCATGTGAGCAGCTGCTGTTGTTGGCTGCACGGTATTCCACTGTCTTTTATGGCAAATAGATTTCATTAATTTAACTTCATATTCAGATTAGGAAAAACGATATTTTAGCTTGTTTTACCTCCAATAGGATTTCTGAATAATCATGAAAGAAACGGCGTTCATATGAACCACAGAAGTGTCCTGGTGTCCTTAGCTACACACACACACATCCCTGCTCCTGCTGATTCCCCTGCTGATGACTCTCTCTCTCCTGTGTGTCGCCTGTTGTTGCTTTCATTTTGTTTCCTGACGCTTTTTGCTAATGCCCTCTTCTTGTTTTTTTATTGCTTCCTTGGTTTGACCTGCAGAGCTCTTCCTTTCTCTAATTCCTTTAGGTAAGACTAACATGTCCGACTAAAAAAACAGTCATGTGGCTTGAAATGTGTCGTACGCAATTGTTTTAATTCCTCATAAAGGTTAAGCTCTGCCTTTTTTTTTTTACTAATAATACTTTGACTTGCATTATGTTATTCCCTTAGATTACCTGAAAGTAATTCAGTTTTGTTTACAGTTGTTAAACTATAATATTTTCATTTTTAATTAACGTAGGGCTGTACCAACGAGTTTGAAGCTTCGTTTATATAAGAATGCAGACGTTGTTTTTTTGCATATCTATTTTTTCTGTTACACCAGGTATTTTTTGCACATTAAGATTAGTTTCAAATAGTTTCAGACCCGTCACTCGTGTGATAACCACATTACCAATGACTTCTGAGCATTATAAAGTTGAAGTAAAGTGTATTGAAAGAAGGTAGATTTTTATCATTTAAAAAGTTCAAAACATCTTTTTATCTTACGGCTTGAATCCATATTAGCCTTTCAAAAACAGCTAACCTTTATTAACAATCGTACTGCACCCGTTAACAGAGTTTCTTATAACACAATAACGCTTCATTCATTCATTTAACACCTTTTTAAGTGCCATGACTTTACAAAATATGACAACAGAAATTCAAAGCTTTCCTAGAAAATGTTGTTATAGACATTGAGTGTTAAAAAGGCATTTGGTACAGCCCTACTTAAAGTGTATTTGAATAAGAAATAAAACAATACGTCAAGCGATAACTAATAACCACCGACAGCAGTGTGTGTGCGTGTGTGTGTGCGTGTGTGTGTTTTAACACTTGCACTTCTGTCTCCTCTCTTTAACGCTTACAAAGTAGCAACTATTCCATTCGCCACTCGATAAGTATGCCCGCCATGAGGTAAAGTAACACCAACCTGTCGGACTGTAACACACATTGCTTTTATTAAAGAACTGTATTGCTGCACTGCTGCCGCCTTTCTAAATGTTCTTTATCTGTTCATGTCAAAGCTTGTTTTGTTAGCGGTTGCTTGGCCTGATTTCTCAACTGTTGAGTTTACTTAAATACTGAGTGAAATGAGAAGATTTTTCATACACTTTCCCCACAAGGGAATTGCCAAATGTGGTTATATTGTTCACCAGCTTTTGACATTATATAAGTATGTATTTGTTAATTGCTTGTGATTTGTTGAAATTGTTGATCTGCTGGGAAAATGTTGATTTTTACTTTTGTCATCTTCTGAATTATTTAATTTTAAAATGTTCTATTTTTGTGTTCCTTACATGGGTTGGGGAAACTAAGAAGGTTTTTTAAATAATGAAACCCTATTGTAAACAACACGTTGTGTCACTTACAGACAGTGTGTGGCAGTATTACTATGGCTGCAGTGAAGCATTAAACCATTCATTTTTTATTTAACTAGTCATTTTATGAGCAGATATACTTCTCTACAAAATATATACTTATACAAAGTCTACAAAATGAAGAACACACGTTTTATTGTTCTTATTTGATGTTGTGTTTCATTTAGCTCCTATGTGTTGCCATCACCAGCTGGAGTGTCCTGTTATCTTGCCTTTTCACTTGTCTTGCTGATGCATGTAACATTGCGTGTGTGTATTTTGTGAGTGTAACATTGTGTCTGTCCTGCAGGAACTCTGCAACCTTCAAGTCCTTTGAGGACAGAGTGGGGACCCTGAAGGTGAGAAGACTGTTTTCAATTAAAACAATAAACATATTTTTTAAATAATTAATTAATGATGAAAGTGATTATTCATGCAGAAATTGTGTTTGCAGCCTCTCAGATGTGGAGACTTACTGATTTTCTCTGTTTTTATATCATAATAAACGGAACATCTTCGTGTTTTGGACTGATTAAAACAAATACTTTAAATGGCAAAAAATTGGGGAGGCTTTTTAAAATGTATGTTTCTGACTTAAAGACCAAGCGCTTGTTTAATAATCTATAACCAAATCAGCAGATTCAAAAGGAAAATGACCTTAATTTGCAGATCTATAGTGTACGCACTCTACCTCCTTGTCCCTTCTCAGATGTGTTATTCATCTCAGGATAGTACGTGGTCAAAGTGTTTTCCCCCGACAGGAAACAGAAACTGATGAGTCAGTATATTAGCGCTGACGATCAATAACACTCTCTCTCTTTCTCCCCCCCCCTCAGACTAAGGTTGTCGGCCCCAGAGGAAACGGGGAGCCCGTCACCCCCACTGACACCACCCCCACTCAGGAGAACCCGCCTTTCTGAATGCATCCCTCCTCCTCCTCCTCCTCCTCGCTGCCACCTTCCTCACGACCTGAGACTGTACTGTTAACACCTCACATCGCTGACCTTCGACCCTCCACTGCACCAACTCCACTCTCTTTGCCCTGAGGTCTGTCAGCGCAGACGGGCAGGGGGGGGGCAGGACTCGTGGGGTTGAGGTGGGACGAGCTTCCCATCGCTGCTGGTCCCATGGCCTCCATTCCCCCGCCTCGCTGCGGGGGGAAAGGAAAATGTTTTGTTGATGTCTAAACCTGAATCATTTACATCTTCACCCTATTAAGACCCACATGTGTAAGCTCAAATAAGTTGTCAGACACCTTTTTTCAAACAGGTAGCTTCTGCAAATCATCTGGCTTACAAAAAGGCATTATTAAGATGTCAGGCTCCTCAACTAAATGAGAAACTTCACATTTCATTCTTAGATGCATCTCTGCAGCAGTATCCAAAATCACAGAGTTTAAGAAGCAGGACATCTTTAGACTGAGGGTGGAGGAGCATTCTACGGGCATACCTAAGATGGTGGCGTATACTGCTACTATTTCTGTCTTCTGGTTTCTGACTACTACCGTGTACTTTAAATCATGCATTCACACTGTGATCACATGCTAGTGTCTCCACAGTATCCTCGCCTTCTTTCAAACTTGTACAGTTACCTTCACGACCCGCAGTGTGAACGCAGGCTACTCTCGCAGGTCAGCGTGCACACCCCCCCCCCNCTGATCCAATGCTGCTGTGAAAAAAAGAAGCTATATCCATGTTGGATAGAATATCCAATTTAAATTAAAAAATAAGCTTAAGGGACAACTTGAATGCTTTTTTTCTTTTTTTTTCTCTTAATGCATTGCATAAAGATCGGATCGGGAAAAATCGGTATCGGCAAATTGTCAAAATCAAATGATCGGAATCGGATCGGGAGCAAAAAAAGGTGATCGGGACATCCCTAGTTTGATTTGATCTAAATATAAATACACTATATAGACAAACGTTTTGGGACACTCCTCTTAATCATTGAATTCAGGTCCCATAGCCTCAGGTGAATAAAAGCAAGCACCTAGCCATGCAGTCTGCCTTTACAAACATGTGTGAAAGAATATGTCGTTCTAAAGAGCTCACTGATTTCGAACGTGGTTCTGTAATATGATCCCACAAGTCAGTTTGTGACATTTCTTCTCTCTTAGATATATTCCACAATCAACTGTAAGTGGTATTATTGCAAAGTGGAAACGTTTAGGAACCACAGCAACAGGTTGGGGATTCATGCCTATTAATCAAATCAAAGATACAGGAATCGTTGTACATTAACAGGAGACGGCTCTGCTCCCAACAAGGCCAGTCTTTATGTCCCGACTCACATCAGCACAATGCTGCTTACTGTACGGCACAGTGATGCACACCAGCGTCGTCACATTACACCGTCCGTCTGAACACCACCTCACTGTTTCACTTCTGTTTTGGCTTACAGCAGGAACACAATACCTTGAATAGGAACTTCACATTTACTTTTTCAAGGATTTGTTTGGAAACACAAAAATCCCAGTTCATGAAGTTTATGCACTAAAATGTTGCTAACAATGAAGAAATACTGTCAAATGAGTGGTCAATATTAGTCATCACATACAGAGGGAACCACATGGCAGTGTGAAATACACACATTGGTTAAATGAAAGGTGTTATCTTCGCTTTCCCTCAATATGATGTGGCCTAAAATGCCTACATTTAACCGACCTGAACATTAAAGACACCAGCTGACTCTCTCCTACTGCAGCTTTCATGGAAACTCACTCTGTCTTCATGACTCATTCATATTCATAACCTATTTGTTTCTTTCTCTAGTTCAAATGGATCTGTGTGCAGGTCGTACATCATCTCTCTCAATCTCTGGACATCTGATGTCATGTGACTAAGCAATCTCTTTCTCTTCCTCCCTCTCACATTCCTCTCCTCTCCTCCCACTCGTTCCTGCAGCAGCAAGTCTGAGCTGCCCGTCTGGTCGCCAGTCACGACCTGGCGCATGCATGTGTGTGGGTAAAAGACACACACTGCTGCTGAACTGCACGTGGCACTGTGAGTGTTGGCCTAAACCATAATGTGCACGCCTGCTCCTGCTATTTTAGGCAAATGTGTGCAATAATCCACAATTATTCTGGGCATTACTGGACGACAAAAAGAAAATAAAGTGTGAGAAATGTGTAAGCGCGTCTATTTCCAGGTGTGGAAGTAGAACCAACACTTCAAAGACCAGTGCACCTGCTGCTGCCGTTTGTAAAGGTGTGTGTATAAGGTGTTTAAGTCAGGTTAGCCTAACTAGCTGAGTGAGCTTGACAATCCAGTTCAAATCAGATCAGCCACATTAGCTTCAGACCTCGATGCAGCAGAAGCAGCTGTGTGGTGGAAACGTGCAGAAAACTCAGATTGAATTCTTGCCAAATATATACTATTGAATCTTTCAGCAGCAGTACAGAGTCAAGGATAGAAATCAAACATCAGCTCCTGGGGAAACTTTACCAACTCAGATTGTTCACTAACAGAATCAAAAGTTAAACAGAGTTCCATTCAGTCAGACTGGTTATGAAGATCCTTTTCTTGTTTTTACTTGGTGCCAACTGGTTTACTTGTAACATGCTACATTGCATTATTGATGGTCAACCAATATAAAAAACTAAACTCGTACTAATGAGGGGGAAACTGTGATTGTTCACAGTATATCTGTCGTCGAGACATTTCAACTACCTATACTGGCCAATTCTTTTTGTAGGGCAGTGTGAGTGTGTCTTTGAAAAGGAGTTGGAAGCATTCTCTTATCTTCAACATGAACAAACAAACGTAATATCAGATTCAGGTTTACCTTACACTGCAGCGCTTTAGAGCTTTAGTTATGGATGCAGAACAAAAACAATCCGGGCATTACTAATGGGCATCAGCTGATCACTGGTTATTATCTAATTATAACAGGGAGGCTGTGGCTCAGTGGGCGGGGTGGACTTCAAATGAGGTGATAGCAAGTTTGAGTCCCACTGCAGTCAGCATGTCGTTGTGTTCCTGAGACACTTCACCCCAAATTGCTCCTGTGGGGATCGTCCACAGTACTGAATGTGTGTAAGTCGCTTTGGATAAAAGCATCTAACAAATGACATGTAATGTATTTACATCATTACTGCCAATTGATTTGATGTAGCTAATTCGCCCTCAAGCTGAAATCCTTAAGCAACAAGCAAACATTAGAGTGTGGCTTAATAGATTATGATTTGCAACACACAAGTTGTCCGCTTGTGCCAACTAGGTTACCATACACAACAAAATAAAACATATCGTTTAGCAAGGCAAGCTCAAGTTAACAATTATAATAAAAAACGGGTTACTTCATTTAAACGAAACTCCTCGGCTTCTACTTGATCTAACAGCCCAGATCACATCCCTGTGATTTGAGTGCTTTGTTTCAAATGCAGAATCAGATAAAACAGTGGCCACAGGTTATATATAGCATCTGAGAATTCTAAATTCTAAAAGGAAGTGGAGAGCAGGATGCGAGTCATCACTTCTGGATGGAGGGAGACAGGACACCTGACCTCTGGGAGAGGGACTAAAAACAGACGAATGATGCTGATAGGGGCGAGGTGGGGAAGTAACAATGAGGAGAAAGAAAGAAAAAAAACATGTAATGATATAATATAAATATGTTTATGATCAAATAGAAGAAAGTTATATGCATTTAATCCTGTAGTTTTACTTTTATCAGCAAAGATTTACATTGAAAACCATCTTGCCACGTCAGCTTACAATTCCACCTTAAAAGAAATCTCCATTATCAAAAATGTGCGTCACGGTCCTCAGTAGACAAACACAGATTCAGGTGAATCAGTTATGTAACTAAAGCAGGAGGGCTAGAAACTTAAACACACACCAAATCCCACTTCAGTGCTACAAGTCTAGCCATATATGCAACACATTCTAACAGCAGCAGAAGTACAGATCCCAGATCTGACACAGAACGTTGCATAAACCCCAAAAAGATCCTGAACAGGGTCAAAACCAACAAACTAAGAATCCATCAGCTATAAAATTATACCAATGACAGCATTAACAGAAGTAGGGCTGCACAACTAATCTAATAATGAAAGCCTTATATATGTATAGAAATATAATTGTCGCTTTTATCAATAATTATGTGAAATATGTGTTGTTTTCATCTCGGCCATAATCATGCAGCCCAAACCGGAAGTACTAATTTTAGACAGAAGCATTCGAGATAGAAACCATTCACTTAACATCATCTCCTGCAACATGAGTTAAAAAAAAAAAGGATTTGACCAGACGCCAGGGGAATGGTTTTCCTCCTGACAGACACGAAGGTCAACACCAGCGTTCCTAAACATGGTTAGAAGGTGCGAACGGGGGAGGTTAGAGTGTTTTAGTGAAAGAGATTCAGAGCGTGAGAGAGCAAACACGGCGGGAGCCCAGACGCAGCAAACAGTGCACAGACTCACAGTTCCAAGTTGGTAACTTTCTCATTCCACTCGCCCAGTTTCTCACAGGTTTTCACAAAGCTAGAAACAGAGACATGAGGGTGTTACACTGCGGGCGCTCTGCTGGGACTCAGAGCAAGCTGGCTCAGAGAGGGAGGGTTAGGGAAGAGCAGAGAATCTCAAAGCACTGATGGGGCTTTAAACGAAGCTACCCGACTCAACTGTGTGAATAATGATGCTGGTTTGAATATGTTCAACCAACTTTTGATCTTACTTTATAATCGCTACTGACTGTGTAATGTTTTTCATGTCTGTTGATTATTATTTGTGTACCTGTCCAATGAGGCAGAATTTGTATTTCCTCTTTTTGAAAATAATGTTTTTTTTGTGTGGCCCTCTTAATAATAAACCTTTCATTTAAATCAAATTGATTGAATATAGCAGCATCTTTTAGAAGCCGATTCAGGCTTTAACGCTGTTTAAGAACTGCATCTGTTTTTGTACACGGGTCAGTTATTGTCTGGCAAGTGTAAAGTAAATACATGTGGTCATATTAGTTTGGAGGTCAAAAGCATTTCTGCTTACTGTTGGGTTCTGAACTTAGTTTTGGATGTTTTTTGAATGATAGAATTGATATAAATGAAATAAAGGGAAAGAGACACTCTACTTTTCTCTGAGCTGATACACATCTTTTAAATGCAGCTAAGTAATGAAATGTTTTATCAGAAAAATAATGACGTTCATCATTTAACGAGAAGTTTGTTGTGTGCCCATTAAGATTCTTCCCCGAGTGATTACCACCAGCTGAGGGCAAAAACCACAGCTGCTAAATAAATCATTAAAGAATATCTTACCATTTAAGTTGCTAACATACAATGATTTGATGATGTTAAAGTATTTAACTTAATCTCAAACCGAGCAGCTGTTCCTCTGCTGAAGTCATCTGTCTCATCTGTTTAAAAGCGTTACAGTCCTCATGTATAGCCTGTGCAGGAAGTAGTGTTAGACTTCAGAAGCCGGGATGCGTCACCAAGGTGAGTCACGCTGTGACTGGCTCTTCCTGATAAAGCCCTCGTTATCAGAGAAAGGGCTGATTCATCTCACTGTGCTGTGCTCACAGCCATTTGGGATGGAAACATATGTACAGTATGAAGCTAAAGCAAACTGCCTTGGTGAAAATATGTTTACTCTTCCATCGTGTTAAATATTTCTTTAATGTCTGCGTATGGGGTGATGCCCCTTTCAAGGTAGACAACGCTACTGATGTTTTCTACCCACATCCTGAACTAAAAGGGACATCATATACGTTTCTTAATATTTAACAACTGTGGCTCCGGTAAGCGTTTATTTCAATAGAAACAAATAATATAATGACTGTTGCCTGGATAACAAATAATCCAGAGTCTATAACTGTAACATCTTCTAGTAAGTGTAGCTCCATATTCACATTACTGTTGGATAAAGAAGATGTAATTATTAAAGCTAACAAAATAATTGGTAATAAAAGAAACAATTGAGTGTGATTTACACAACGTTTGCACTGTACATTTAAGTAATTGTGTTGCTACATACGCGTTGGAGGTCTGTACGTCCGCCCAGCTCTTGGTGATGTTCTGCTTGAGTTCGTTGAGCGGGCTGAGGCCGAGTTTCCTCTTCAGCTCTTGGGCGTGTCTCTCTTTGGCCGACAAAACCTGACGCAGGGTGTTGATCTCCTCTTCCACCTTTAATCACAACAGAGTCACCAGAAAGTGTTAAAAAGTGTCTTTTGTTCATAGTTCTCAATCACCGAGAAACACATAGGTGGTTGGCGATCCATTACCGTAGGATCCTATTCAAATCATCCCAACAGTATTTTCTAACAAATGCTTGTTAGAAAATACTGTTTTCCATCAAGACTAGGGATGGGTACCGAGAACCGGTACGAAGTCAATACCGGTACCTGATTGGACGGTATCGGTATACCGTTAAGCCGCTGGACAAACGGTGCTGCTATCGGTATATGTGTTACGTCGACTTCCTTAGTTTAACTTTAAACCATTCTGGTTGGTTGGGAACCCTCATCTGTGTGATGTATCCGTTTGAGACCCCTCTGATTGGCCACTGTAAATGCAACTCGTCATCTCTCTCAACAGCGCTCTTATTATTGTTGTGAGACTCCCGCAGGCATGGCGGACAGAGCGAAGTGATCGAAGGTCTGGGTGCACTTTAAAAAAATGTAGTGGCGATAGTGCAAGGTGCAATCTATGTACTCAATTAGTTGCTTGTAAAGGGGGTAACACAAGAAACTTAATGAAGCATTTGCAAACGAAACACTCATTGAATCTAAAACGGTGCTAGCGATACTGCTAGCCTAGTGCTAATAGTGCTAGCGGGCTTCAGCCGCGCCGTGTGTAAATGTGACCTGAGCAAAGGCTCGCAGGCAGGTTAGCTGCTGCGCACGGGCAATATGTTTTGTTTACCCGAGTGCAGTCTTGCAGGAACATCGCCTTGTTCTTTTTTTAGTTTATTAACACAGTGTATTAATGTGAGCTCCAACACCTAGAATAATTTGGCCTTTCATTGAATGCTTTATAAACCAGTTAAACTTAAAGATGTCATTGTGAATTGGAAAACTGCATTTAAATGTTGTTAAAGGTCAACGTTTCAATGTATGTATCAGCAATTGTTGGTCGTTTACTAGGAATT